GCGGTTGGTGTGTTGGAACAATGTATAAATGTTTAGCAGCCCTGATAGAAATTGCAAATGGGATTGCTTTTTTATTTTCTTCTGAACTTGAACATCTGATACTCCTGTTACTATCTAAATTTCATTTTGATCACCATGATTTTTCAGAATCCAGGGATAACATCATGGCTAAACCTATCAGCATTTTGGGGCTCAATTACTGTTCTTGCCATAGACTTTTCTGTGTGATTCTGAGTAAATTAGCTAGCTACACTTTTTATGCAAGAATTCATCACCTATAGGGATAGGCTGATACCACCATGGTCAGAGGCATTTTGTAAGAATTAATGCATAACTATTTTTGTACACTTTTTGTTTGCAACTTTTCACATTGCGAATATAAGAGATATACTACCAAATGTCTATAAAGACATAGTTTATATTGATTAATATATATCAGGGAATATATATAGGGAAAATTCTTGGAGGTTAATCTTGGGGGGAAAAAAGCGCTGTCAGAGTTGAGCTTTAAGATGATGGTGTTCTGAGTGTGTGTGTGTGTGTTTTACTTTTGGTGAAAAGCTGTTTGTATTACTTCAAGATATGTAGTCACTGGGTACGTATCCATAGCTATTTTTCAAAAGCTGTGGGTTAAGTTCACACTACTTCATATTTAGCACTTACGTAGAACTTCAGCTTTTATAGCAGGCTTGTATCATTCAGTTGATGCAAGTCTTCCTTCACACAGAAGTTTCTTTGGAGAAGAGTTTAGAGCTTCATCAGTTCCCATTGCTGCAATAGGTGATGTGAATGTCTAAAAATGGAGCCAAGGTCGTACATTGACTAATACCAGCCTACACCACCAGCAGTGCTGATATCATTAGATACAGAATGGTTTTATCGAAGAGAAGTGGTTTGACTGATGATTGAGCTGATGCTATTTCCTCCATGGTGTTTAGGAATACTGCAAATAACTGGTGCTGATTATATTTATACCTTTTTATCATCTATAATGATGTGAGACACAATGATGATTAAAATTTTTTAAAAGCCTTTTTAGTGCTATTTTGAGTGTTTTCAGATTATATTTTTAATAAAATTGTGGTATAAGAAACAGATCATTGGCCATATGAAAGAAAGAGGTAGTGAATGTAGACTCTTGTGCAGGATACTGTTGTGTTTACAGTCTTTTACCATAGGAGGTACTGTAGCATTGAATAGCATGTTGTTGTGCATTAATGAGTAGAGCTGAGTCATTAGTTCCTAGTGAATAATTAATACAACAGTTGAGTGACCATGTTTATGAATGCTCTTTGAGTAGTCGGAGTTTCCTGGAATGTTCAATGATAATCCACATAAACTTCTGTGTAACACTGTACTTGGGACTGACCCTCAGGCTCATAGTTCTGTCTCCGTCATCTGCAAATGATTTTCCTGGGCTGCAGCATGGCACACCCAGGCTGGCTCCATGCAGCACTGCGGGGCAGCTTTAGCCATTTTCTCAAAGCTT